TGTGCTTTGTTTCGGCAGGAACTCTCTGTGCTGGGATTCTCGTCACTCTATCACGCAAAATCGGACACGTTTGACGTCGTTCCCCTCGTCAATGCAGCTCAGGAGTTGCTTCAGATACATCGTGATCACCTGAAGCATCGTGGAGACCTGGAACACAGGTAGTGAACGTGAAAGAATGTGAAAGAATGCCGAAGAACTTGCGTGTGCAGCACGCGCAGGTCTGCAGCACAGACGTGAGGCACATACAGGTGCACAGGACAGATATAGGGCACTTGCTGGTCAGTAGCAGAGATATGAGACACATGCAGGTCTGTGGCATGGGTATGTAAAACATACAGGCCTTTGGCATGGGTATGAGGAACGTACAGGCCTTTGTCATGGGTATGTAAAACATACAGGCTTTTGGCATCGGTATGAGGAACATACAGGCTTTTGGCATGGATATGAGGAACATACATGCCTTTAGCATGGGTATGAGGAACATACAGGCCTTTGTCATGGGTATGAGGAACATGCAGGACTTTGGCATGGGTATGTAAAACATACAGGCCTTTGTCATGTATGAGGAACATACAGGCCTTTGGCATGGGTATGAGGAACGTACAGGCCTTTGTCATGGGTATGTAAAACATACAGGCCTTTGGCATGTGTATGAGGAACATACAGGCCTTTGGCATGGGTATTTGGAACATACATGCCTTTGGCATGGGTATGAGGAACATACAGGCCTTTGGCATGGGTGTATAGATTAGATATAGGGTCAGTTTGTAGCAGCATGGCTACGAGGTTAGAGCGTCGTACGAACCGTTACTTAGTCGAGCGCGTTGTCTCGATGCATGGGTGTATAGATAGGGTAAGTTAGAGCGTCGTACGAGCGTGTTACTTAGCCGAGCGCGTTGTCTCGATGCATGGGTGTATAGATAGGGTAGGTTTGTAGCAGCATGGCTACAAGTATTGAGCGTCGTACGAGCGCTGTACTTAGCCGAGCGCGTTGTCTCGATGCATGGGTGTATAGATAGGGTAGGTTTGTAGCAGCACGGCTACAAGTATTGAGCGTCGTACGAGCGCGTTACTTAGCCGAGCGCGTTGTCTCGATGCATGGGTGTATAGATAGGTAAGTTTGTAGCAGCACGGCTACGAGGTTTGAGCGTCGTACGAGCACGTTACTTAGCCGAGTGTGTTCTCTCGATGCATGGGTGTATAGATAGGGTAGGTTTGTAGAACCACAGCTACGAGGTTTGAGCGTCGTACGAACCGTTACTTAGCCGAGTGTGTTGTCTCGATGCATGGGTGTATAGATAGGGTAGGTTAGAGCGTCGTACGAACCGTTACTTAGTCGAGTAACACAGCTATCATGAACTCCCTGCTAGCACACACCCACAGCTATCATGAACTCCCTGCTAGCACACACACACAGCTATCATGAACTCCCTGCTAGCACACACCCACAGCTATCATGCATTCCTTGTTAGCACACACCCACAGCTATCATGCACTCCCTGCTAGCACACACCCACAGCTATCATGCACTCCTTGCTAGCACACACCCACAGCTAGCATGCACTCCCTGCTAGCACACACCCACAGCTATCATGCACTCCTTGCTAGCACACACACACAGCTAGCATGCACTCCCTGCTAGCACACACCCACAGCTAGCATGCACTCCTTGCTAGCACACACCCACAGCTATCATGCACTCCTTGCTAGCACACACCCACAGCTATCATGAACTCCCTGCTAGCACACACCCACAGCTAGCATGTGGCCCTGACTAACGCGAGGCACCGGCAATCGCACACCCCTGCCTAGACTCACCACATTCCCAGCTAGCAACCATGTAAACACCGTAGAAATGTTCGTGCGTCAACAGTTACTAAACGTGGCAGGCGGCGATGGTGTAACGAAACATGAAATGTAAACGTTGGATCGTAGTCTGTAAAACAGACGGTTGAGAAAAACATGACTGATTAGCTGTTCGCTTGCTTTTCTTGACGTCGAGTTTGTGTGTGGACCCTGTGGGTGGTTGTATTCCTAATTACTGAGCTATAAAGGATGCATAGGGCCAAGCATTCACATGATATATGTACGTACATATATCTGCTACATATTACTATTTATTCATGTTTGTTCGTGTATGCCGTGGGGTGATATGATTAGCATGATAGGTTTATGTACAGGTGAATAGCCATGCGATGTATCCCAAAGAGATAAACCATGCTAAACTACCCTTCTTTGTGCGTCAATTATTATGTTAGAGGGAGTTGGATTTTTTAAGGATAATAAATATATATAAAATATATAATATAATATTAAGAGCTAATAATACTAGTATAACAGTATAAATAGGACATAATATAGCTAGTATTGGTAATATATATCTCCATGTATGACTTGTTCGCGAAGCCGTCTTCGTTTATTAAACAGGACGATGAGGTGCGGAGCGTCGAGACCGCGTCTGTCTCCTCACTCGGAAGCTGTAGCCACGGCAACGGGCCGGCAGCGGAGGAGGAGCAGCTGTTCCCTGGACAGTTCCACATGCCGTATGACGCCGTGAAGGAAGATCTACAGCAGCGCCTGCAGCACAAGTTCGAGCTGCTGAGAGAACGCTTCAGCCAAGCCGGAGCCCTCGGTATGCTTATGTATATTATATTATTATATATTTGCGTTAATTGGGAAAAAATGGTTAAGCGGATAAAGATAAAAAAATACAGAAAACAGAAAAATAATTATAAAATGGATGGGATTCGATCCACCGACCTTTCAGCCTTGAATTGCGTGCTGTACTCGCTCGGCTATTGAGGAATATTGGAATTATGAATTTTGGATGTGCTATAAATATGACGACACTGTGACGTCATTGAGCGCCGAAACAAACTCAACCAATAGCAGCGCTCACTAGAGCCCTATGTTCTTGATTGACCTAGGAAAAAAAATCATGCCTGCCGTAGCCGTAGCCTCGAGACATTAAGTCAAGATACGGCTGCCGTATCCGTAGCCATGCACCGCCACCAGGCGCGGATTTAGGCCGGTTTGCACCGGTTTCCAGAAACCGGTCACAAGCCTCAAAATTCACCAGAATGCACCAAATATAGCCTGGTTCTGGCAGTCAATACGTTCTGGTATACCGGACCGTACCCAGGGTACGTTCCGGCAGTACCCTGCGAGACATAGACCCTATGCTTGAACCGACCCTACGTATATCAGCCCAAGGCATAGGCTATTTCACCTCCACATAAGTTCCTCAAGAAATACTTATCTGGCACCTTTTTGTTTGAAGATGACACAATTATGTATGAAACCGTGCTCTTCATAGCTGGTGCTGCACTTGTATCTTGTATCTTGTATCTTGGAGTCCCTCTGGCTCTGTATTTCACAAGTGACAAGGCACTGATTTTCTCTTTGTGCACTGCTGCCATCTAGTGTTGTTGGTGTGCAAAGATCGCGCCATAGGCCTCCGGCACTATACGATCTTTGCTGGTGTGTTATTCATTGCGAAAATATGTCTATACTTTTAGCCAAACACACGAGACATATCAGGGTATATCATAATGATAATAATAATAATTTGACTTTGCCGCTTGCAGCAGGCACATCCAAATAACACATCGGCTTGCTCTGTGACTAGTGAAATGTTTTTTAAACAATAATAGCTCATATTTAAAATTTCCCCCAATAGGTAGCGCCACGTTATGTAAATACCACATAGTTCACATTTTGAAAAATTGTTCAGGTGAATTGTTCATTTGAAGTTTGCATCGACGTCCGTGTACACCGACATCCATGTCCGTCGACGTGGGTCTGTTGGTGAGTGACATAACTTATATCGTGCGCAAGGTGATATTAATCCAAAACATAGCTTACATTAATAATAGTCTTAATTTCTTCAGCATAGTCACTACCGAAGAAACCACTGGCACTGCACTGGCACAAGATTGAGTTGGGCTGAGGAGATTGCATTTACTGATTTTAATTTTTAGGTGTTTGACAGAGTGTCAGAGGTGAGCACCATCACAGGCACTTGAAGCGTTTCAATAAAATATAATGCTAACTAAATACGAAATCTATTTACTACCAAATTCTTAATAAAAACACTGTCTGTGTTCGTAACCGAGCTGTGTCACGCGAAATCACACAAAGCCTGACGAAATTCTCTCGTTCGCTCCCGTTGCGCAGTTTATGTAAAGGCTGTGTCTCCTGCAACGGTACCGTCGCCGATGTTTTTTCTCTTAAAGT